AGGTGGCCCAAGCGGGGATGTCAATCGGCGACTCCGAAAGGTATGGTTTGCAGAGGGTGTGGCTTGCGACCGGCACCCTGCGGGGAACCCTGAGGGGCGGGCGCGGACCTCGATAGCGTTCTCCGCCGCGCCCCGAGGAAGCCCGACAAGGACAGTGTCGTGCCCCCCAGGCCCCAGCGGTGCCGATTGTGGAAGAAGAAGAAGAAGAAAAAGAAGAAGAAGAAGAAGAAGAAGAAGAAAGAAGAAACACAAAAAAACGCCATAAAGATAAACTGTTGGCGCTAGGCGCGGATTTCTTGGATGTGCGCTGGACCCCCCTCCCTGGCGCGCGGAGCGCGCCAGGGGCGGCGCCAGAGGCGCCGCCAGGCGGGCCCAGCGCAGATCCAAGAAATCGGCGCGGACCACCGAACGTTTATGTTTATGCCGTTCTTTCTTCGATGACAGCCACACCCCTTGCGTAACCGTACGATTTGTAATCGCCGAGTGAAGGCCGAGACACGTCCCCCGTTGGGGCGCGGCCACGAAGCTCGCCCCTGGCGGCCCCCGGGCCGCCGGCACACTCGCGGGCGGCGCGACCAGCGGGCTCGCCGCAGCCCGCCCCATCGGCGCCGAAGCCTCGCTCCCGCCCGCGGGGTGGCGGCGCCTGGAGCCAGCGAGCCAGGCGGGCGACGATGAGAAACAGGTCTTACGCGATATGACGTAGCGACCTTACTCGGCTGCTTGCGCAAGCCGCCAGCGCAGCACGCTCCATTTGAGACCAGGGCGCTCACGCCAGAGCGGGCGCGGGAGAGCCAGGTGAGGGTCGGTCAGAAATGGTCCTACGCGAGATGGCACAACGGTCTTACGCGGTGGCTTAATTACGCGGGACGCCAGCGCGGCAAGCCACAATGGAGACGAGGGCGCTTGCGCGACCGTACGCGGGCAGCTTACGCGCCGATGTCGGTGACGACGAACCCCTCTTTCTGGCGTCGCTTAGGTGGAAGGCGGGGGTGGATGCGATCTTTGCTCATCAGGTCCACGGGGCCTATCGTGGCTTCTTGGCGAGCCTCTCGCCCCGGGATGCCTGCCAACACCCGTGCCTCACCGAGGGCGCTCCGGGGGCGTCCGCACTGGGCCAGTGGGCCGCCGCAGGGCCAACGTCAATCACACAGGTGGCGCCCCTGAGCGGCAGAGGCATTGGCCATGTCACCGGCGGGCCCGCTTGGCTCTCCTTGACTGGCGCGCCGCGGCCAGGAGAGCGCTCGGCGTAGGACTTCCACCAGCCGGGTCCACCGACGACTGGTGAGCCCGCGGGGCGTCCTGTTTGTTAGGAGGCAACGCCTGGGAAAACTCCTGAGAACTGTCACGGTCCATGAATGAGACATCAACTGAACACGGGTGAATCCCAAGATAAATCCCAAGATGGACTAAGCGGAATTCGCCGGAACTCTGCCAGACTCCTCATGTTTGGTCCCGTGAGGACTGTAACGACGAGTAAGGAGCGCAGGGGCTCCTCTGACCACGGCACGCCTCGGCCACGCGGGGGACCGCTGGTTTCGCCGACGGCTGGTTTCGCCCAGCTGGATTCGCCGCCCGGTGGCGAAACCAGCTCCGTCGGCGAAACCAGCTCCGTCGGCGAAACCAGCTGCCGTCGGCGAAACCAGCTGCCGTCGGCGAAACCACCTGCCGTCGGCGAAACTGCCCGACCCGACCCGCCCACGAAGGTCCGCCCGCCCGACCCGACCCGCCCGTCAGGGTTCGCGCGTGCTCGGTCGAGCGCGCCCCACACCTTAATGTCCCGCCCGCCCGAACCGACCCGCCCGTTAAGGCCCGCCCGACCCGCCCGACCCGCCCTCTAGGGTCCGCCCTCCCGACCCGACCCGCCCGCTCGGTCGAGCGTGCCCCACACTTTATACTGTCCCGCCCGGCCGACCCGACCCGCCCGTTAGGGCTCGCGCGTGCTCGGTCGAGCGCGCCCCACACTGTATACTGTCCCGCCTGCCTGACCCGACCCGCCCGTCAGGGTCCGCCCGCCCGACCCGACCCGACCCGCCCGGTACAGGGTCCGCCCGCCCGACCCGACCCGCCCGTTAAGGATCGCGCGTGCTCAGTCGAGCGAGCCCCACACTTCAATGCCCCGCCCGCCCGACCCGACCCGCCCGTCAAGGTCCGCCCGCCCGACCCGACCCGACCGCCCGCTAGGGTCCGCCCGCCCGACCCGACCTGCCCGTTAGGGCTCGCGCCGGCGAAACCAGCGCCGGCGAAACCAGCCGCCGGCGAAACCAGCGGGGCGAATCCAGCGAAGGGAAACCAGCGCCGGAGAAACCAGCGCTGGCGAAACCAGCCGTCGGCGAAACCAGCGGGGCGAAACCAAGGCCGGCGAAACCAGCGCCGGCGAAACCAGCGAAGCGAAACCAACGCCGGCGAAACCAGCGCCGGCGAAACCAGCCGTCGGCGAAACCAGCCGTCGGCGAAACCAGCGCCGGCGAAACCAGCGCCGGCGAAACCAACTCGTGCTGGCAACGTATGGAATGACGTCCCAAGCTGCGGGACGGCCCGAGAACCGGAGCCCCTCCTGGGCCCCAGCAGTGTCCTTACATGAACGTCGTGAATGTCACTCGCCGCCGTGCCAGTGGCAAGCTGGGGCACGTGAGAGCGGCTGCCAATTATCCCTGTTGCGCAGGGGAACTGGAAAAAGTGGAGGTAGGAAAGACCACAGAAACTGGGGCAGGCCCGAGCTCGCGAACCCGCCCAGGGCTGGACTCAATCCAACGTAGCGGAACAACCTGCAAGGCAACTGGCTGCAGCTGGAACCAACACCAATCTAGTTCCAGTATTCCTGCATTGACCCGTTAGAAGTAGAGTCGGATCGAGACCAGAAGAACATCCTTCAAGAGCATGAGGCCCTCCGCCCTCCAGAACACACAGAACATCCAAGGGTAACCTCCCCAGGATGTACAAAAATATCCAAGACAAAACAACACTAGGGTGCCCTCCCCGAACCGACCTCGATCTTATACCTCTGTCCGACTGTAACGTGAGTTGGGCCACGGAAGCCCTTCGGCGTGTGAGACGCAGTGTGCTGAGGGTCAACAACGGCTCGAGCACTCACGGCGGAGGCCCACGGAACAAACCATAGATCGTCGATATCCCCAGTGCTCTGAAACACGAACGCGAACACGACTAAACGAACGGCGACAACGGCTTCGACGGGGACGACGACGACGACGACGACGACGACGACGACGACGACGACGACCGAGAGCCACCGAAAACCTTCTCAGGCCCTCCAGATACCTCTCCGAACACCCCCGAGCACCTCCGAACCACCGCAGACCGTCGAGCAATGCCGAAACTGCAGAACACCCCTCAGATCCCGTAAAAGCGATGACGAGGAAGGCGGCGACCCCTAAGATCCGTGACGTCGCGAAACGTTGCAACACCGTCGGAAAGCACAACCAGAACCCACCCCCCTTCGAGACGCCGAGACGCCCTGGGACAAGAGTCCCAAATGACGGACACATGTATTATCCGCCACAGTGCCTTGGGCACGGAGTGGGCGTGTTAGAACGGTCTTGTGGTCCCTGTGGGAGTGTTGTTTTAAATGTTTTCTCAGGGCGGCCCCCCTCTCGGTTCGCGAACGGGGTTGAAAAATCGTCCCTCCCTGAAAGTGCCTCTCGGCGCTTTTTTCTGGCCTGCAGACGGCAAAAATGGCCTCCAAGACAGCTTCCAAGACAGCCAAGACGACACAAAGAGGCCCCATGAGGCCCCCAAGATGCCCCCAAGAAGCTTTGAAGGAAGCTCCCAGGAGGCCCCAGGAAGGCCCCAAGGATTTTCCTGCTACTCCTCATTTTTTCCCTCTCCTCCTCCTCCTGCTCCTCCTCCTTGTCCTCCTCCTCCTCCTCCTCCTCATCCTCCTCCTCCTCCTCCTCCTCCTGCTCCTCCTCCTCCTCCTCCTCCTCCTCCTCCCCCTCCTCCTTCTCCTCCCTACCGCGCGGACAAAGATGAGGTCGGGATCACGACTCGTCCCAACGCAGACTACTCGTCGGAATTGCGCTGTTCCAACGCTCAGCCTCTTTCCTGCTGCGCTGTTCCTGCACGGTGGCGGGGTTTGCCGCAGGCAGCTGGATACCGTCTGAAGCATTTGTGCATGCAGTGGTTTCGTGCGGTACCCTGCGGCGTGGCGGTCGCATGTGCGTCAACGGGGTGGGCAGTACATGTGGGGTGCAAGAACGTGCACCTCTCGTGCACTCGTTGGGTCCGCGGTGACAAGGTCAGGGCCACTTCAAGATCAGCCAACATCGAACCGGTAAATCGGGTCGACTCGGAATGCACATCGGACCGGACTGCATCCGCACGGAATCCGAATCGGATCGGATCGGCTGCGCCAGGATGCAAAAAGCGCCATGCAAACATCAGGCCGCATTGGATCGTTGAATATCGGAATGAAGTCAGATCGACAACGAGTCGGATCGATCAGATCGAACCCCGAATCTGGGGCCTCTACTAGGGCCACCTTCCTGCAATCCTCGATCACCCCACGTCTATTGCCCACCAGAAGGGTGCATCTTTCGTGTATCTTTCGGTCCGGTCTAAGAGCCGTTCAGGGCCCTCTTTTGGGCCAACTTCCTGCAATCCTCGATCCCCCCGTTGCCGCGCAGCCGCAATCCTTGCCCGCAATATTTTCCTGCGATCCTCGATCGCCCCCGTCGCCGCCCGCCCGCAATCCTGTAGGGCCACCTTCCTGCAATCCTCGACCCGCCCGCGTCGATTGCCCCCCCATTGCTGCCTGCCCGCGGCGGCGGCGGCAAAGGCGAAGGCGGCGGCGAAGGCCGACCCTGTCGAGACCCGCCTCGATTGCCCCCCCTCTGTCGTCGTCGTCGTCGTCGTCCTCGTCGTCGTCGTCATCGTCGTCGTAGCCGTCGTCGCCACCGCTGCCGCCATCGTCGTCGTGATCGTCGTGATCGTCGTCGTCGTCGTCGTCGTCGTCGTCGTCGTCGTCGTCGGGGGAGGGGCGCGGCCCCGGCGCTGGGCGGCGCGTCGTGGAACGTAGCGCGCCCTCCAGCGTCGCGGACGGCGGCGCCGAGGCGGAGGCCTCTGCGGGTGCAGCGGGCGGCACCGGGCCCAGCCGATACGGCAGGTCCGTGCCGCTGGAGGCACAGAACCCAGTAGACACCCTCGCGTCGTGAGCAAATGCGACGCAGGCTCTTGGGCACTCTCGGCCTCTAGGGGACCTCGCAGGGTGCCTGGACCGTCCAAGCACGACCCGGGCGGGATGAACAGCCAGTCCCGCGGGAAATGTCCAGACCTCTGCAGAGGCCGCCGAGGCGGACGCTTCTGTGGGCGCCGAAGGCGCATCCGCATGGTGTGGTAGGGAAGAACAAGAGCCCAAATCTCCGAGCGTTTTCCGCGAGGTCGACCCCCAGGGTCCGTCAGCGAGCCCGTGGGCCATCAACAATGGATCCGCGGCGAAGGACTGCCTGAGGTCGGGACCGCTGGATTTGGATCGCTCTGGGCTTGGGGTCTGAGGGACAAGGGTTGGCCAAGTGCTGGGGATCTACAAAAGCAACAACCAGCATAAACATGCCTTCGGAAGTCCGGGCGGATTGTTTAAACCGAGAATGGCTGGACCCGTCAGAACCCACTCCGATCCTCCAAGAATCCGATGCGGCCCGACGCTCGCATGGCGCTGTTGTGTCATCTTTGCGCCGCCGATCCAATCCGATCCGAGTCCGTGACGATGCGGTCCGATCCCGATCCGATCTGATTTCCCGATCCGATATTGATTGATTGATCCTGCAGTGGGGATGGGCCTCTTGCTGGTTTTGAAAGACAGTGTCGGAAATCGTCGCGGACCTCCGACATTACAGGTTCATGCGGGTGTTCAAAAATCAGTTTGGCTTAAGTGAACAAGTTGTTCGTGGTCAGCCACTTGGTGCCGAGTGAGGTCGTCGCGGCCTTGCTCGGGGCTCCCTGGTACTGTCTCATCGCAAGGGCCCTCCTAGAAGGGTCCCTCGTCTTGTGTCCTCACCTTTGCATTGTTTTTTGTTCTCCTTCCTTCCTCGGGTTCCCCGTTTTTTTCCTCGGGTTTCCCAAACTGGTTCCTTGCTTGGGTTCCTCGGTTTCCTTTGTCATGTTGTTCGGGTTCCCTCGTCGTGTGACTTGCTTGGGTTCCTCGGTGTCCTCGGTCCTGTTCCCCGTTTTCCCTGGCATTGCAAGGCAATGCCAAGCAACGCACAACAACGCCAAACAATGCTAAGCTGGGCATTGTAAAACGCAACGTAAGCGACGCCAAGCAACGTCATCGCAAAACCACGCAACGCCAAACAATGCCAAGCAACGCCAAGCAATGCCCAACAACGCAAAACGATGCATACATGGAATCTGAGCATTTCCCCGAATTAGAACAGGGCTGGCTAATTCTTCTGATCCACCACCGTGCACATGATGCGCGAATTGAATTGTCCTCTGGTTTTTCGCTGGACCCCCAAGGACTGAATTTTCAATCCCGGGGCTCGTTTTTAACAGTGCCCCGAGTCGAAACGGGGTTTGTCATCACACAGCGTAGTGGCGGGGGTGAGCGATACAGTGGCGGCAATGGTGGCGGCAGCATGATTAAAATGTCTCTGTGTTACCTATCGCCGCAAAGTGTGCACCAGTAAGGTACAGGCCAGTAAGGCGGCCCCGTCTTGAGCAAAGGCGACAGCGGGATAATCACAACACATAGGCATAGCGCCCCGCCTCGGAACGTACCTTCAAACTCGATGGGGGAACGAAGCTTAACCGCTACCGCATAAATATGTAGAGCAGATAGAAACAATGATCAGTAAATGGCAAACCCAACCACCGAGCTAGCGCTGAATCGGTGCATGGGCGCGAGGGTGCTGATGTGCCGGAGTCATGTACCCATGATTCCATCATCCCAACACCAAAGTGTACCGGGCAGAAGCAGGCTCAACAAATACAGCTTCAGCCAGGAAGACCCGAACTCGGCCCCGAAAGCACAAAAGGCGGGCCGAAATGATCCCACTTCGGCGCTGAGAGATTGCGTCGAAGTCGTGATTCCACGACGTTGGCCCGAGGTTGCAGAGTGGAGCGTGGAAACACGTTCTGCCGCGAGCAATCGCGGGCCCGCGAAAACTCAGCATGGGACAAATTACGCTGCCGAGGAACCCCACATACTTATATTATGGCTTGAGTGATGATAGCTGAGGTGAAGCATGTAAGAATGATGTTGGTGGCCGTTGCCACCCCCTGCGCACCCCCTATTTTGTCCAGAAAGTGCCACGCCTGCTATGCCCTGGACGACCGTCGTGCATAGCGGCCGCGGTGAGGGATCACCCCCTGCGCACCCCCTATGGTGTCGAGAAAGTGCCACACCTGCTATGCCCTGGACGACCGTCGTGCATAGCGACCGCGGTGAGGGACCAACCCCTGCGCACCCCCTATGGTGTCGAGAAAGTGCCACACCTGCTACTGCCTGGACGACCGTCTCGAATAGCGGCCGCGCTCGGGGACCACCCCCTGCGCACCCCCTATGGAATCGAGAAAGTGCCACGCCTACTATGCCCTGGACGACCGTCTCGGATAGCGGCCGCGCTCAGGGACCACCCCCTGCGCACCCCCTATGGAATCGAGAAAGTGCCACGCCTACTATGCCCTGGACGACCGTCTCGGATAGCGGCCGCGCTCAGGGACCACCCCCTGCGCACCCCCTATGGTGTCGAGAAAGTGCCACGCCTGCTATGCCCTGGACGACCGTCTCGGATAGCGGCCGCGCTCAGGGACCACCCCCTGCGCACCCCCTATGTGTCGAGAAAGTGCCACGCCTGCTCCTGGACGACCGGCGCGGATAGGGGGACCACCCCCTGCGCACCCCCTATGGTGTCGAGAAAGTGCCACGCCTGCTACGGCCTGGACGACCGGCGCGGATAGGGGGACCACCCCCTGCGCACCCCCTATGGTGTCGAGAAACTGCCACGCCTGCTACGGCCTGGACGACCGGCGCGGATAGGGGGACCACCCCCTGCGCACCCACTATGGCGTCGAGAAACTGCCACGCCTGCTACGGCCTGGACGACCGGCGCGGATAGGGGGACCACCCCCTGCGCACCCCCTATGGTGTCGAGAAAGTGCCACGCCTGCTACGGCCTGGACGACCGGCGCGGATAGGGGGACCACCCCGTGCGCACCCACTACGGCGTCGAGAAACTGCCACGCCTGCTACGGCCTGGACGACCGGCGCGGATAGGGGGACCACCCCCTGCGCACCCCCTATGGTGTCGAGAAACTGCCACGCCTGCTACGGCCTGGACGACCGGCGCGGATAGGGGGACCACCCCGTGCGCACCCACTACGGCGTCGAGAAACTGCCACGCCTGCTACGGCCTGGACGACCGGCGCGGATAGGGGGACCACCCCCTGCGCACCCCCTATGGTGTCGAGAAACTGCCACGCCTGCTACGGCCTGGACGACCGGCGCGGATAGGGGGACCACCCCGTGCGCACCCACTATGGCGTCGAGAAACTGCCACGCCTGCTACGGCCTGGACGACCGGCGCGGAAAGGGGGACCACCCCCTGCGCACCCCCTATGGTGTCGAGAAAGTGCCACGCCTGCTACGGCCTGGACGACCGGCGCGGATAGGGGGACCACCCCGTGCGCACCCACTACGGCGTCGAGAAACTGCCACGCCTGCTACGGCCTGGACGACCGGCGCGGATAGGGGGACCACCCCCTGCGCACCCCTATGGTGTCGAGAAACTGCCACGCCTGCTACGGCCTGGACGACCGGCGCGGATAGGGGGACCACCCCGTGCGCACCCACTGCGGCGTCGGGAAACTGCCACGCCTGCTACGGCCTGGACGACCGGCGCGGATAGGGGGACCACACCGTGCGCACCCCCTATGGTGTCGAGAAAGTGCCACGCCTGCTACGGCCTGGACGACCGGCGCGGATAGGGGGACCACCCCGTGCGCACCCACTATACGGCGTCGAGAAACTGCCTGCACGCCTGCTACGGCCTGGACGACCGGCGCGGATAGGGGGACCACCCCCTGCGCACCCCCTAGGACCACCCCTGCGCACCCCCTTATGGTGTCGAGAAACTGCCACGCCTGCTACGGCCTGGACGACCGGCGCGGATAGGGGGACCACCCCGTGCGCACCCCCTATGGTGTCGAGAAAGTGCCACGCCTGCTATGCCCTGGACGACCGGCGCGGATAGGGGGACCACCCCCTGCGCACCCCCTACGGTGTCGAGAAAGTGTGCCCTGCGCGCTAGCCCTGCGTGCTCTGCTGTGCTTAACTGTGCTGTGCTGTGCCAAGCTGAGCTGTGCTGTGCTGTGCTGTGGTGTGCTGAACTGAGCTGAGCTGAGCTGTGCTGTGCTGAGCTGAGCTGTGCTGAGCTGTGCTGAGCAGTGCTGTGCTGTACGAAGAGTGAAGTGTGTGTGTGTGTGTGAGAGAGAGAGAGAGAGAGAGAGAGTCGCGGGTGCGGCGCGGCAGGGAAGAAAACCAGAACCCCACGAAACATGTTGGGGAAGAAAACCAGAACCCCACTAAGCATGTGGGAAATGCAAGCGAAAAGGAGAAGGGGAGGGGGAGGTGTGAGACGCGGGTGCGGCGCGGCAAGGAAGAAAACCAGAACCCCACGAAACATGTGGGGAACAAGAGGACCCCCTTCTATTTACGCATAAGGTGACTGCAAGCGAGAAATCCACCTGACTTCAGGCGAATGAGTCACTCGCCAAGCACATCCATATTAGTGCAACATGCAGGGCATTATTTGTGCACCCGCCTCAGACTCGCCAGACAACGGACAACCGCGCCAGGGCCGCCGAGAAGCAGTTGACGGCGCAATTTCCTTTGGTTCCCTTTCTGGTCTAGGACTGAGCATGCCCACTCTTTCGGGGACCCCTGCTCCAGTCCGTTTCCAGCGTTTCGGCGTGTGTTTGGCTATCCTCCTCAGGACCTGCCACAACCAACCACACGGGGCAGGCCGACGCTGTCACGAACGACACCTCTGTGTCCGACTGTGCGAGAACACCACGCGTACCTCTTGAATGCAAAGATACACTGTGTCTGGCTGTATTATG